CAGTAAAAGCGGCTTCATTAAATGCCATCGGCGGCAATATGTGATAAATTACAGCGCATCGCCTTTTTCTCCCGTTGTCTGTCGGATCTGCTGTTGAAACGCGTCCTTTATCCAGACCGGACGCGGAAGACCGGCAGCCTGTCGCTCCTGAGTTTCCCGTAGCTGCTGGCGGAAAATCTCCTGATAGTCATCCCCCATCAGGGCCAGCTCTTTCTCGTATGTACTCAGGCCGCCTTCAATGCGCATCACCGCTTCCTGCACTTCCTTAAGGCCATCAATCGCCATACGACCGGCACCAATCCACTCGGCACGGCACCACCCGGAACGGGCCTCCCAGAATGAGAAACGGGATTTCGGCGGACGGATCACACCACGAATAAGGGCTTCCTCCAGCCAGCAGGCAAACATCTGTGACGCCAGGCGACTGGCCACAAATTTTCGTTTTCCCATAAAATACCGCCACGACTCATTGGCGGATGCCCTGGCACTGGAATAACTGACCTGTGAATAATCACCGGGAAAGCTGCTCATACGACACACCCAGTCCGGCAGCAATGTAACGTAACAGCGCCTTTTCCAGTTCAGAAAAACCATTATCCGCATTCTGGGCTGTCTGCAGATTCAGTGAATCTCCCGGGTAAAGATGCGGAATACGGACCCCGCCCAGTTTTACCGTATTGGTGGCGTAATAACGCGCGTAGCCTTTCATGATGGTGTTCAGGGGATTTTTACCTCCATCTCCCACTCCCGGCGATATATTCAAACGCTTTTTCCGAATCCAGTGTGGATTCAATCGTGGCGGCATACATGGCGCGAACCACCGCCGACTGCAGTTGCGTGGCCTGCAGTGTGTCGAGCATCTTGAGACGCTCCATTACAGAATAAAACTGGTTGGCCCCGCGCGTCTGCCCGTCTTCCTGTGGCTGAAACACATGGATCATTCCCGGTCTCCCGGAAGGCAGTGTTGCCGTAATTCGTGTCCATTTACTGACACCGTAGCCGGGCCAGTCATCATCCTGAACATGGTAGGCCAGCGCTTTTCCGTGTCGGTTTATTTCCACCCCGGCACGCATAAAACGATCGCCGGTACCATAACCGGGTGTACTGACACGCTTCGGGCTGATGGTTTTGAATTTCGTCCGGAATAATGACGTGGATTCCGCATCCCATACGGGCTGGACAAAAATTTCACCGTTAAACGTATGGACCCCCACCCCTTCACGAATGAATTCGGTAAACGAACGACGTCCTTCCACATCCATCGTACCAAACACCGGATCGCAGTATTCCATCCACGCAGCCTCAACATCTTCAATAAAAGCATGTGAATCTGCTTCCGACATCCCCAGCCAGCGCCAGTTGGGACGGTAACTCAGACGAAACATGTGCCCGACAATATGATCCTTATGAATTTCCACTGCATTCGATGCAATACCGTTGTTACGGACCAGCTCATCCGCGCGGGCGTTACCCAGATGAATGGAAGGTAAGAGCGCCACGTCGGCACTTTCCGGTGCAGGCAGCCATTCTGCCATTTGCCCACCGAACCCGGAACCACCACCAGAATATCCCATGCTTTGCCGTAAAGGCTGCCCATGAATATCCACCAGTTCCCCGTTCACAGCCCCACTCCTGCCGGGCCACGACGCCGTCCGGATACACCCAGCGCACTTTCCAGCTCTTCAATATACTGACGCAGTTCACCAATCGTCGCACGCGAATACTGAACCTGCCGTCCGTTCCTGCCGACAGAAACCACAGCACGCCCGATCATCAGTTCATGTAATGCCCGACGCGCCTCGCAAAGCATTTCATGCGTATAAACCATCCTTTATCCTCCACTCAGTGCAGCCGCGATCTCTTCCATGCTCATATCATCCTCATCCTGCTCATCTCTTCGTGCCCTCGCCAGCGCTTCAAGGTCCAGTTGCCACCGCTGTACCGAAACGCGCAGGGCGGCATAAGCATATACCAGGCAGTCGAGGGCTTCGTTGCGTCGCCCTTTTTTATCCCACAGCAGTTTCACCCTGCCGTTAACCACCTTTTCCACCAGTTCTTCCGCTACGATTTGACGCGCCTCTTCTTCCGAAAAAATGTCCGGGTTATCCGGAAAACGGAAGGTATACGGTGCGACTTCACTTGGCAGATACCACCGGCAGGGCAAAACGCGCATACAGCATTTCCTTGACGGTATCGGAGCCCACCTCACACAAAAACACACCACGCTGGTTGCGCTTTTTGGGCATGGTGATCACCGGCTTGCCATACACCGATGCCCCTTTTATGGGAAGCACAAAAAAAGTGCCGTGTTTCCTGGAACGCTGATACACAATGTCCTGGTCAATACCACCGGTATCCCAGCAGACGCGGGAAATGGAAATTTCAGTGCCATCTGCATGACGGTATTTTTTCCGGATCACGGCATCAACGCGTTTAAGGGTGTCCTCATCTTCCGGTCTCCCCATGATGATCTGCTTGTCAATCAGAAAGAGCTTCTTCGCCGGGAGCCCAGCCCCAGACATAAATTTCATAACGATCTTTCTGGGAGTCGATCCCGGCAGTCAGGTAAACCACCCGCAGGGGAACCTGCGCATCATAGTGGCAGACTTTTTCCAGCAACAACTCAAAGCTCAGTTTTTCTGCCACAGCCTCTTCATAAGGCTCCCCCAGCGTGGTGTTAATGAACGTCTTGACACCGTTCGGATCCTTCAGTGCATCAAGCCAGTCATAAACAATCTGTACCCAGGTGGTGAACGGACTGTATGCCGTCCACACGTGGTACGTGATTGAGCGCGGTGGCGGCATCTCCTCATCACCGGCGCTGTAAAATGCCAGGCCGTCACGCGTCCACATCCCGGTATTGTCACAAATCCACCGCCCGTCGGTCTGGTCAAGTTCCGACTGACGGATCACGCAGCCATTATGTTCACACAGGTAATACACCGTCTCCGGCTTGCCCTTCTCCCATTTCAGGCCAAAGGTTGTCGCATCATCGCCAAACTTAAGATACTGGGCTTCACCACAATGAGGGCATGGCACATAAAACCGCATAAAATGTGCAGATTCGTTCGCGGCTTTTTCAATCTGACAGGAAACCTTTAATTTTGGGCGTTGAGCCGCGTATGGATTTAGGCCATACCGAACCTTCGATACGCTTATCACCAAGCAGCGTTGGCGAGCCTTCCTTTTCCACATCCGGTTCAAACGAGGAGAGTTCGTCATAGCAGACCACATCCACAGATTTTTCACGGTAGTTTTTGGCAGCAGCTCCGCCCAGACACCAGAATCCCACACCGGAGGAGAAACGTTTCAGGGT